TCACCAATCGTTCTTGCCCTAACACGGAGGTTCCAATGAAAGACAAGCTCAATCTTTTCTCCCGCCTATCCCGCCAGGAATTGCCAGCCACTCAACTTACTCAAATCAATGTGGCACCCGTGGTTCCTCAAACTAGCAATGGTTCTTGGGATCATATTGGCCCTGGCTCCTTCGCCGACATGTTAATGTATGGTGTGGATGAGGAAGGAATTCCGTTTGATAATGATGGCAGGTTTTTTCCCTCAATCTGTTCTGTTTTTCCTCATACCTCTTCTCCTCTTCCGATAGTTTCTTCTTCCCCTTCTAGATTAGTTTTACCCATCCACATTCTCCAACCTGGTTCATCTCCTCTTGTCGCCATGGCTTTGATAGACTCAGGCGCTGGCGATTCTTTCATCAACACCAATTTTGTGAGGTTGAAGAATTTAAATTTAACTAATCTCGCTACTCCTTTTTCTTGTAGAAGTTTTGATGGCTCACCCGCATCATCCGGAGATGTGACCGATTGTTGGCGCGGACGCATTGCCTTATCGGACTTTCTTAACCATTCTTCCATCTCCTCTGTTTCTTTGAATGTAGTCTCCCTTTCCTCTGTTGATGTAATACTTGGACTCCCTTGGCTTAAGGCAAATCGTGCTTGGGTTGGAGGTTCCGATGGACAACTGTATTTTGAATCATCTTCTCTCGTCTCATCTTCTCTCCCGATCTCATCATATTCGCTTAATATTTCATCCATCACTAATAACATTCATTTGAATAGCAAAGAAATTTTGTCTCTCCCTCCCAAACTTCGTTCCTTTTCTGATGTTTTCACTGTAGCAAGTTTACAATCTTTACCTCCTGTCCGACCGCAATTTGATTTGAAGATTCAACTTAAGGATGGCTGTGTTCCCCCGTTTGGAGGACTGTACAATCTCAGTGAGGCTGAGCGACGTCAACTTCGCAGTTACATCGATGAAAATTTAAGTAAGGGTTTTATTCGTTTATCTTCTTCTCCGGCTGCTGCACCAATTTTTTTTGTCAAGTCGGAGGGCAAGGATGATTGCCCTTGCGTTGACTATCGAGGTTTGAATGCTATCACTATTCGTGATAGTTATCCAATTCCGGTTCTCTCTCTTCTTCTTAACAATTTGGCAGGTTGTAAGTTTTTGTCTAAGGTGGATCTAAAATCAGCCTTTAATCTTCTTCGAGTCACTCCAGGTCAGGAATATCTGACTGCGTTCCGTACGCCTTGGGGACTGTTTGAATATATGGTTATGCCATTTGGTTTGGCCAATGCTCCCGCAACTTTTCAGCGATTTATTCAGCATGTGTTGCGGGAATTTATTGATGTCTGTTGTTTTGTATATATTGATGATATTCTTATCTTTTTGAAAACAGAGGAGGAACATTTGACTCATCTATCTTCTATCCTAGCTAAGCTACGAGAATTTTCTCTCAAGGCTTCGTTGAAAAAATGCCAATTCTTTCAGACAGAAGTTCAGTTTCTGGGCTTCATCATTTCTTCGCAGGGTCTTTGTATGGACCCCACGAAGTTGGACACTATTGTGCAGTGGCCGCTTCCAGAAACGTTGCGAGGTTTACGTCGGTTTTTGGGGTTTTGTAATTTTTATCGTTGTTTTATTCCAAATTTCTCTTCTGTTGCGGGACCGCTTACCTCTTTAACTAAGGAATCTGAATTCCACCCATTGCGCTTAAAGGAGGTTGTCGCTACTAACGCGTTTTCATCGTTGAAATCTTCATTTTTATCAGCTCCGCTCCTTTCCCACTTTTCTTTTGAAGCCGATAGGATTGTTCACGTGGATAGTTCAGGCTTTGCTATTGCGGGAGTACTGAGTCAGCCTGATTCTACCGGGCGTTTACGACCTGTTAGTTTCTTTTCTAGAAAGCTTACAGATCAGGAGCGGGTTTGGCCCATTTTCGACCTTGAGCTATACGCGGTAATCTCGGCTTTTGAGGAGTGGAGAGCTTGGTTGGCGGGTACCAAGAACCCTGTCTTAGTATATTCGGACCATGCTAATTTAAAACATTTCATGACGGCTAAAGTTCTTTCCCCAAAGCAGGCCCGGTGGGCTGCATTTTTGGATTCTTTTAATTTTAAACTATTTCATGTCTCTGGTTCTGCTAACCCGGCTGATGGTCCTAGTCGACGCCCTGATTTTGATAACCCATCAAAGATTTCGTTTCCTAATTCTGTCGTTCCTCACATTCACTTACATTCCATTGAGTCGCAGCTTCATGCAAAGCCAGAGCACGATCTTTATTTTCAACCTCTTTCCTCTGAATTTACTTCCTTGCTCAAATCTTCTTACTCCTCTCTATCAGATGACGAGAAGGAGGATTATCATCTTGACCAAGAAGTGTATTGGTTCCGCCACAGGGTATTTGTCCCATTGGAACTACGGGAGCAGGTTATCACTACGTATCATAATGCAACACTAGTGGGTCACCCTGGTATTGCCAGAACTCTTTCTTTACTACTCCAAACGTTTGATTGGCCCACCATTTGCAAGGATGTTATATCTTTTGTTTCATCATGTGATTCTTGTCAGAGAGTACGTTTTTCTCGACAACATCCAGTAGGTACTTTACAGTCATTAGCTATCCCTACACGCCCTTGGAGCGTCATCGGAATGGATTTTATAACTAAACTCCCTCTCTCACAGGGTCATGACTCCATATTAGTCGTAGTAGATTTGTTAAGTAAAGCAGCCCATTTTATCCCCACTCGCGAAACTATCACCGCGAAGGATCTGGCTACTCTTTTTAGAAGAGAAATTTTCCGGCTTCATGGTTTACCTGATCGGATTATTTCCGATAGAGGGACTACTATGACCAGTGAATTTTGGCAACAGCTTATGAAATTACTTAATATCAAATCAGCCATGTCTACAGCTTTTCATCCTCAAACTGATGGACAAACTGAACGCATGAACCAAGTATTAGAAGACTACCTTCGCCACTTTGTGGACTATAGTCGGAAAGGATTGGTCGTCAAAATTGGACGTAGCCGAATTCTCTATCAATAATTTGCACTCTACTTCGTCAGGCGTATCTCCATTTTTCTTTATTCATGGCTATCATCCTTGGTTTAATACTTTGACTGTTGCTTCCAAACGGAATTGTGTTAATCGTTTGATTTCAGATTTACAGGACTTACAGGACAAGGCTTCTCTTTCTCTGCAAAAGGCAAAGGAGAAACAAGCATTTTATTATAATCAGACCAGACGTGTTGCAACTGTTTTTTCGCCTGGAGATCAGGTGTTGTTATCTCGTCGTAATATTCAGACTAGACGTCCGAATTCTTTTTCGCCACTTAGGGCCATTCAAGGTCTTAGAAATGGTGGGCGAGAACGCTGTGCGATTGGACATAGCGGAGCATTATCCAAAAATTCACCCAGTTTTTAATATTTCATTACTTACAATTTATAAGGATCCGTTTTCCCATCCCCTTCGTACTCTTCCTTTTCAGCCTGATATTCATTCGGTCCCAGTAGAGCAGATTAATTGGGATATGTTTGATCAAGTATTGGATCATCGAACCCCCTATAAGGGGACGGAAGAATACTTTTTACGCTGGAAGGATTCAACTCCAGCATATGACCGATGGATTCAGTTATCTTCTATTCCTCGTGTTTTTCATCAGAAATTGATTTCGTTCCATAATAACAATGGTTCTGCGATCCCCCTTCTTTTGACGGGTATAAGGTAGTGTATATTTGTAAGAATCGGGATTACGTAGAGGCTATGACAAGGGAAATAGGATACGAGGAGATAAGAGCTGACGCACGTTTTTCCAAAAGAGAATTATACGTTCATAGGCAACGGTTCATTCAGCCTGGGACGGAATTCCGATGAAGGACACCTTGGAAATCGAAGTCATGTATTATTAAGAACCTCTATTCTCTGTTGTTTTCTACTTTTCCTTTCTTTCTTTATCGCAATATTTTGTTTTCTCTTTTATCATTGCAATCTGCGAAACCATTATCATCGTCCTTAAAGCATCTACTTATCCATCTGATAAGACCGTCGCCCATTAGTTGTCATTAGCTTGTCTGTCCGACATTCTTCCAAGACATTCTGTCTTTGGCGCGTCCACAGTAGTATCCTAGTCATTACATTAACCCCCAGGGAGGGTGGCCACCGGCTTGTTTCTCTTTAACAAAGTTTTGCACTGGTGCATTTCTCAATCAGAATTTTTAGGTTTTTAGTTTTGTATGTTGTCATTGTATGTTTCTGTGGGTTATTGGCAATAAATACCATTTCACACTTTGATTCACTGTCTGCACATTGGTGTGGGAATATTGTGCAGTGGGTTTCCTGAAGATATGTGTGCTGCTTGATGACACTTTTTTGCCAAAAAAATGCCAAAATGCTGTCTGGGCAACAGCTCACAGACGTCTCATTGAATGATCATCTGGATGTACCATTTTGGAGGGGACGGCCCTCAAATACCTCCTGGCCATCTGTAGGATGCTTTGAGGGGATGTCACGTGGATGCTCCACAAGGACGTCCCATGGCTGGCCTTTTATTTGTGGAGGAGCACGCACCTGGGATGCTCTGATCTGTGGGGGCTGCTGTCCTGGTGCCATCCCCCGGGACCCTGCCACTGGGACGTCCAACTGCACTGGTGGTGTAATGAAAGAGAGAGAGAGAGAGAGATGGTGGTTGGTGATTGGGATGTGATTTGTGTGTGACAGGTGCTTGCTGGGTGCACTGCTGAGTTTCACCGCCAGAGATCACATGACCAGCGAGACGGCTGGAGTGGGAACGGTCAAGAGGAGAACGGTCACGAGAACGGTCAAAGAGCCGAAAAAAGGAGAACGACGAGAAACCAAGGAGCCATCTGCAGAGACTCACAACCAAGGAGATGAACAGGACATAAATAGACAGAAACCGAAAGATACTTTAAAGGAACGGGAGATATCCATACAGCTTATCATCCGACTGAAAGAGAACGAAGATCAAAAAGAAACAAAAAGATACTGCTATCTTTGTGATGAAGAACATCATCTCCTCACCAGTCGAGGTACCACTACTACTACCCAAGCACAATACAAACCCAGCCACCCGACCACAGACAAGCCAAACAACAAGGATCCTACTCCTCCTGCTCATCGCCATCTCATCATCCCTCATCTGGCTGAGACCCACAAAGCCTTGTCTGTCTTCATTCAAACATATACAACACATTCAACCTAATCTAACACACCACATTCTCAATTTTTAATAGATCCTTCAGCTTCCAACTCATCCGCTTTCAAGCATCCTCACGAGCGTAACCCCTCTTATCTGGTCTCTGGAAAAAATGGCGTCGTGGCTAGTGAGGAGGCTCGATGTTCTACCATTGGTATCGATGGTCAGCTTGAATTTGTTTGGCCCAGCTTGGAGAGACAGATTGAGCTAACAGATTGGCTTGTAGTTTTGAAGGACAATGGTACTGCAACCGACGCAGCCATAGCCACCGCACTCTGTGTTGGTGTCGTCAACTCCTTCTCCTCTGGTATCGGGGGTGGTGGATTTATGGTCATCAAACCACCAACTGGATGTTCAACCAAGCCCTGTTCATCTCGAACCCCAATTTCGATCAACTTCAGAGAAACCGTACCGGATGGCGATTACTACCAGGCCGAGTTCTACAAGGATCCATCAAAGAGTCGGACGGGCGGTCTGTCGATCGGGATACCCGGTGAACTGGCCGGATTCCAAGCCGCTTATCAACGTTTTGGCGGTGGGGTCAGTTGGCAGAGGATCTTCCAGCCTTCGATCGATCTCGCCAAGAACTTCTCAGTCGGCCCAGCCTTGGCTGTTGTCCTCTCAGACCCCCGGATCCATCCCTGGATGAAGACCAAAACTGAATGGCAATCAGTCTTCCAACCCAACCATCGGATAGCTCAACTGGGTGATTGGATCCAAAGGCCTAATTATGCACGTACACTTCAAATCATTGCTGATCATGGTATCTATCCATTCTATCATGGATCGATTGCCCAACAGTTGGTCGACACCATCAATCGCCACGGCGGTAGGGTCTCCCTGGCCGACTTTCAAACCTATCAACCGATCATCGAACAAGCTATCAACACAACCTATCATAATTATAATATCTGGACGACCGGCCCACCCTCCTCAGGTGCGATCCTTTTACATGCGATGAACATCCTTGAACGATACTCTTTACACGACCATCCTCGGACTCCATTGGCCGAACATCGGTTTGTTGAATCCCTCAAATACGCCTTCTCAGCGCGTACCGAATTAGGCGATCCAAAATTCATGAACTCGAGTGAACTGGCTCGGATGGATCTGATCGAATCGAAACCCTACGGCTTGAAGACCTCACTGAAGATCGACGACGATCGGACGTATGACTATTCGCACTACAAGCCCAAGTACAGCATTGTTGAAGACCATGGGACGACCCATCTGAGTGTGGTCGACCGGTTCGGCTCAGCCGTCTCGCTCACCTCGACCGTCAATCTGTACTTCGGCTCGAACGTGATGGATCCAATCAACGGAGTGATCCTGAACGACGAGAACGATGACTTCAGCATCAAAGGTCGATCGAATGCCTTCGACCTCTACTCCTCCCCCTTGAACTATCCTATCACCGGCAAACGCCCCGTCAGCTCGATGGCCCCGATCATCGTCGATTACCTTCATCCGCAACCTAGCAATGGGTCGTTGGTAGAGCCCGAATTCTTTTGCGCTCTCGGTGCGAGTGGCGGTAGTCGTATCTTTAGTGCGATCATCGGGACTCTGTTGAAGTTGCTCTGGGGTTATGACCTTTCGCATGCGATTGAAGACCCTAGACTCCATCATCAACTGTTGCCAAACGAAGTCAGTTTGCCAAATCCTTTCTTTCTTTTTTCTATCCGAGCGTCCCGTCTGTAGATCAAATTTCTCAATTTCTGACTTTCTTTTGATTAATTCTTTGGTTGGTTGGGAAAAAAAAGGTGTATGTTGAAACCAGTTATCGGTCCGATTTCTTGGACTCTTTGAAGTCAAAAGGCCACAACATCACCATGATTGACATCTTTTATGGCAAAGCGTAAGCATTTTTTTTGTCTCCTTCGACATTTATGTATATGTTGACCCGCGAATTCCAATCGACTTCTTTTTGTTTCTCATGTGTAGAGCGATCCATGGGATCCATAAGCGGTTATCAGAAGATACTCTGTTCGGATCTAGCGATAGTCGAAAACACGGCGTGCCTGATGCTTATTAAGTTCCAGATCGAACAATCACTGACGCACGCTTTCTACGAATACACATTCTTCCTTATGTATTTTAGAGTCTTTTCTTATGATCATGGTTTCGCTCTACTCACTTGGATAGGGATATATACATGTCATCTTATCTTGTTCGACCCTGCCTTTTTCTTCGTTTCGTTGTTGTTGTCGTTGTTGGATGCAGATTCCTTTTCATTTCTTTTTTTTTCTTCGGTGGACTTGAATCGGATCCACCAGTGTCGTTGATGTTTTCCCTGACTCTCATCTTCTTCTTCTTTCTCTTTTACAAAACCATAGAGTATTGTTTCATACATGGATCTTTTTTCTTTTCTTTTTACAACTTCAGTGCATGCATGAGTGGATCGGAATCAATGAATTGTACTATTATGTACCTCCTTATTCCATCGTTGTCTGAATCCGCTTTTATCTTTGTTTGTCCTCAGATGAGGGATGAAGTGTGTAAATATGTGAATATGTGACTGAGCAAGGGCAGAGTATAAATAAAGATGTAGCAGTCTGTTCTGTTCTCGACTTTGTGGGCACTGGCTTGGAGAACTTGACTATTCCCAACATGGACACCATCGATCAGAAATACGCACCACTCTCGGCCGCCGACTGCTTCCAGGAAGCCCTGCTCGTTACCGTCGGAGCATCAAAACTCTTCCGGGTCTACTCCAACCCAGGCAAGTCTCCGGTCCTCTTCGTCTTCCACCATGGCGCCGGCTATTCCGCCCTCAGCGCCGCTTGTCTAGCCCGGGAACTCCGCGAGCAGGGTGGCGGCCAATACGGCTTCTTAAGCTTTGACTGTCGAGCTCACGGTACGTTTCTATTCACCTTCAGAGTCAGCCGCTCTCAGTTTGTTTTTTATACATACATCTCGACTGACGTATGCACTTGGCTCTGCCCTCTTTTGTCAGGTGCCTCTCAGGTTGAATCGGAAGATAGTGGGCCACCTGATCTATCCTTATCTACCCTTGCAAACGACTTGGTCGACCTTCTCAAGACGATCTATCCCGATAAGACACTTGCCCCAGCCTTCGTCCTCGTAGGCCACAGCATGGGCGGAGCAGTGGTTACTGAGGCATGCGCCGGGATCCAAACACATGTCGGAAAGGTTCTCGGCCTGGTCATCTTGGATGTTGTCGAAGGTCCGATCTCAAACAAAAAAAAAAATGCGTTTCTTTCTTAACGGCACACCAAAAAATTCAAACCTGCCACCTTTCTCTCCTTCTCTCTCCGTCGAAAGTTAGGTTCAGCCCTCAGTGCCTTGATCAGCATGATGCCGCTCATTAACTCGCGTCCATCGTCGTTTAGCTCCTAGCCGAGTGCATCAAATACCAGTCAGTCTCGTCTGTCGAGCCCCCCCTACCTCT